GTAGGATTCCAGAATCTGGGAAGGACAGTAGTGTCCTGAGGCAACTGGTGATAGTCGATGAAGTCACGGGTAAGCAGGAAGGTCTGCCCGGACAACTCAAGGATTTGCTGCCTTGCCGCAAGTGGCGCCTTGACAATGCATTGGATCTGCTGTTCACCCTTGGGTGCACCTGGGTGCTTGTTGGTGCGCAGGCCATAATAAGTGAGATTGGCCGCGTGGCTGGGCACAAGCTGGTGCATGTGTTGGCGGAGGGTATTCAGTGGTTGCTCTGCGGTTTTGTCAAAATCCTGCTTGCTCATGAGGCGGGAGTCTGCCTCAAGGACAATCTCAGCAATTGCTGCAGTTGTCATCTTCAGCTTGGGTGCCGCGAGCTGGTAGGTGATTTTCCCTGCCGCAACACGCAGCATGGCCAGGCGCTTGTATGTTGTCTTGGACAGAGGATCATCAAGTGTGATCTCATGTGGTCCTGTGAACTCTTGGAAGAGCCCTGGCGGCTTTGTGCCGTCGACCGTGGGTATGATGATGGCGAGGTCAAGAGTTCCAGCTGCCTTGATGAGGTCACCAACATGGGTTTTTGTAGCTAGCACAACACCAGCCCGAGACTGTGAGACTTGAAGTCGGTGCACCTGCTGGAGCGGTTTACCATCCCCTCCCACAAAGGGAATTGGTTCCTGGAGTGACAAATCTTCCCACTTTGATTGTGTGGGTTTGGCAGATTTGTGAAGCCACGGGTCATTGATGGTGAGAATGTCGACCTTTCCAGTGGGTGGAGTGGCTTTGCTCTTGGCGTGTGCTGATGCTGTACCGGCCGTGTCCATGGGAACCGGATCTTGTGTACCTGCTGCAATGTAGGTGTCAGGGAAGTGGTTCCTGGTAACTCTGAGAAGGAACCAGTGCCGTGCGTGCAGTGCAAAGTCCCTGAGGACCGGGTGAGCACCAGCTGCGTGCCACCGGGCAACAACCGTCTGTGTGATATGCAGAATGGGCGCAGAGTGTGGTCCAGTTCGCAGCTCCAGGTGCTGTGCGACGCTGAGTGTTGGCAGGTCGATGCCCAGTCTCATATAGAGAGCATGGATGAGTTGCTGCCCACACATGCCAGGTGGGTGATGTTGCTGGATCGCATGAACTGTGAAATTGCCCTGGTTGTAGCCAAGTTCAGCTCTCAGTTGCTGGGCGAGCGGGCTTAAGCGCTCATTGGATGCCTGAGGAGCCGTGAGGTAGAAGAACGCTTGATGGCCACTTTTGTAGCATTCCGCTTGGATCCAGTGGTTGCTGTCTTCGATGAGCCAAATGATGTGCCCATAAGGGTCATAGACCGGGTTGGGAGCATCAAGAAAGACCAGTGTATCCATGGAGCTGTCCCATGTCGCTGGTGGGCAGAAGAGAACTTCTGGCAAGAGTGACCGAGGGCCTTCAAGGATGAAGTCTATCTCATCAGAATGCATCCACACTGGGTTGAGGTGGATATGGAGCAGTCTGGTGTTGACACGGTGCTGGATCTGATCGCCGGAGGCTATCTGCGGGTGCACCACGTGTTGTGGTGGTCTGTAGCCAATGGGATGGCTGGTTTCCAGTGGTCTTTGGTTGGCAATCCTCCCATTGTTGGTGGTTCTGCGCAAAACGGACATAAAGAAGCTCCTTCTGACCCGGAAAGCCAGCTGGGCAACAGAGCTGGTGGTGCCGGTGGTTCCCCAATCTTCAACGGCAGCTTGAAGGACAATGTCAATGACATCCCTCTGGTCAGCTGTCATGGGATTGTGTGTTGGTGCTGCTGCAAGGGTGTCGTGCTGGTCCTGGTGATGGGCCCAACGGTGTAGGAGTTCCCAGCCGCACATGTGTTGTGTCCACTGTGTGTCATGGTGCAGTATCTGCATTCTGTGCGGTCCAATGTCGAGTGCTCTGGCAACGATCATGATGATCCTTGCGTGTAAATGTGGCGGCACTTGAACGGTGACAACCTGGGTGTGTTGGTCATCCTTGGTGATCTCAATGCCACACCAGTGATCTCCAGCCAAAATGGGGATATACGTTGCTCCTGCAGGTTGGATGGTCAACGGCCCAAAGGGACTTTCGTCAAAATCAGACTGTGTGGTGTCCCAATATGCTGGTGGGGAAAAGTGGGGGCTGCCTGGTGTAGCCCACTGCAAGAGTTGCGTTGCAAAGACCATTTCATCAGCTGCCATCCATCCGTGCGTGTTGGTGGCGAACTCCGCCCTCTGGTTGAAGGTGGCATCTGCCGGGAGTGATGGTGCTCTGCCATCAGCAAGGTGATGTCCACCTGCTTTGATCGTGGGCATAGGCTGTGTGTGAAGCAGGAAACCATGTTGCAGCTTGGACTGGTTTGGAAAGTTGGGAATCCCTTCAACTCGGAAAATGCTTTGGACAGTACCATCAAGGAGGAAGGTGTGTGTGGCATCTGCTGGAAGTTCCAGCTTGCAAGCCCAAAGTGAGGCACTTCCCTTTGGCTGAATGAAGACTGTAGCATGACTACTTGCTCGATGAGTTGACACCGGAGTCAGTGAGAGCAAGAGGACATCTTGTGGGTAGCCAGCTTGACCACAATAGTCAGTAGAGACAGTGGAGAGGCTTTGGATAGCCGCACAGAGCAAAGCACGTTGCTGAGGCAACACCGAACAGGCAAAAGTGACCCCAAGATCGGGGATAGTGAGCAAAAAATTCCACATTTGCCCACCCTCGACATCAAACCCTTGCTCAATGATTTGCCAGATGCCAAGATCAACGAGAGTCTCCATGGTGGAGTCGAAATCGGCCTGTGCAACAACTGAGGTCTTGGCGGTCTGATCGGCGGCCTGTGGCTCCCATTCAAGGGTCGGAGGAAACGGATCGGAAAGTTCCCCACCAGCAATTTCAATCTCACCGACAGGAGTGCCTTGAATGGTTAAAGTCCAAACAGTCTGAATGGAAAAGACCTCGGCAACAGTACATGATAAGTCCATTGTCTGTGAGGCCCCAACCAACATGAAAGCGTGGATGACGTCTCGAGGCCCTGCCAAAGCGGTGCAAAAGACCTGACCTAGAGATTGTGACCCCTGCGCAGTGACTTCAAGAGGAGGGTGATCACCAAGGAACTTGAGCTCAATTTGAAAAGGTCCTTGTGGAGGCCCATGAATCTTCTGCAACAGAGAGGGTGCTGCTGTGATCCTGATCACATGGGCGAAACTGCCAACTTGGCACACAATGGCATTGGTCGCAGACAGACGGTCATGCCAACACTTCTGCACGAGTTCATGGATGGATAAACCTTCTGGCAGGACGGCAAGAAATCCAAGGATCACCGGAAGCAGTGCATGGGGTGTGGCTATTGCATTGCCGAGGTACTTGAAAGCTTCATGCACCTTAGTGGGCAGAATACGATCTTCGGTGGCTCCCAACAGAGAAACGAATCTCGCAGGATCAAAGAAAGCGATCCCTTCAGGGAGCAGCTGCAAAAAGGCAAAAACTCCCTTGGCTTCAACATGACGACGATCTAAGAGGTGCTGAGTAGTGTATGATGCGCATAGTGTCGGCAGGGGCTCAGATTCCTTGGGGTACCGAGCCCACAGCACCTGATCACATGTTGGGGTGCTTTGGCCAAAAGCATGCTTCTTTGCACTCGGAAGGAACTGTGGATCGCCATAAAATTCCTTTTCAGAGTCTGAGAGAAGGAGCTGCTCCTTCCACACCTGTGGGATGTGAAAATCAAATTCCATGTCATGCCACCGTTGCCTCGGCATAGTGCTTGGCGTAATCTTTGCATCATAAAACCGGGCACTCACGTCAGCTCTCACCCAAGTCGCAAGCCAGCGGGTTCTCATCTGAGGTGAGAGATGATTCAATGGCGTCACCTGAGACCAGATCAATTTGAATCCAAGGTGCTTGGCAATGTGCATGATCATCTCATAGTGTTCATGGCTCACGATTTCATCTGCACATTCAGCAGTCAAAATGATGACCTGAAGTTTAAAGGCGAGAATGAGGCCGCTCACAAATGCCCAACCATTGTCACAAGACAACCCCAGGCGCTTGCCTCCCTTGGACCAAGGTTGGCACGGAGGGCTCATGGTACCCATGGAATTAACTTGGGCTTGACAAAGCGCAACAATGGTTGGGTCCCCAACAGCCGCATGGATGCCAACATGGGTCGATGCAATCCAGTCCTGGTCGAAGGGCAGCGGGGCCTTAACCGCCTTCATTCCATGCAGTTGTTCCCAAATCTCAATCACTCCTTCATCAGCATCAATGGAAGTGTGCTGCCCAAACAAAACAGGGGTGTTCTGCTCAGAAAGCCACTTAGTAGCCATTTCCCAACCACCAAAAGCCCCAGCAAACAAATGGTAGGCGGACCAAGCCATTTCAACCTGCAGTTCGGGTCTGGGTGTGATCCCCACTTGATGGCCTGATGCACGAAACTCGTGGTCAGAAACTTGCACCATCTTGCCAGAGCAAACCACCATTGCCCCAATGCACAAAGCAACCGACCGAGAAGCGAGGTCCGGAATAGAGATCTTGCAGTGCCTACAATCACTCGAATCCAGAACAAAGCCACGGCCAGGAACAAATGGTGCCACCATCAAATGAAGCTCATGAGGCCCAAACTCACAGACCTCGCCAGCAATCACCATCGAGCCTTCCACCACTGGGCAGTACGAAGTGGTCGCAACTGCATGCAGAAGAGCTCTCAGCGAGCCAGCAAAGGGTTCCTTTATACCCTCAGGAAACGGTATGGTCGCCATGGCTCACAGAACCAAAAAGGAACCACCGGAACACTTTGGCCACACCGATGGCAGGTTGCCAGTGAGGCAACCCTTTTGGACGCTGCGCCTGTCACTTAGGATGACAGCTCGCAGCCCTGGAGGGCCTGTCCCCCTCGAGACCCCATACCATTATATACATACCATTACATACCATACCACTACATTACAGTACCTACATACATAATTGCTAGCACTCACGCAGGCAAGAAGCTGCACAGCGAAGAACAACTGCAAGTAGACAAGGGCCTCTTCACTCGCCACTGGAGCTAGAGGCAGAGCTGGAGGAGCCGGAGGAGCTGCCAGAGGAAAAAATAGATGTCCAGCTATTGATGAGGTCCAACAGCTCTAGAACTCCTCCCAGGTTGGTCGAGTTTGAAGAGAAGCCATCAACACAATGGTATCTACACCCCCTCAGTATCTGAAATGACTCCTCTTGGCATCGATGACCAGTAGCTGGTTGCTTTTGACCTTAATTATGATATTGTCAGGTGAGACTGATGAAGCAACTGGTCAGCCACAAATGCACCCAAGTACTGTATATATATATAGACACAAATTGTTGTGCCAAGTATCTCGTTCTGCATTACATCCACCATGACGCAGTAGAGTATTGTGTCAGAAACAACATCAAATACCATCATGGCTGGGAAGGCAGCCTAAGCAAACGATGCACGATATGTGGATAGGATGGAAGGACTCTTGAGACTCCTGAGGTATCAAGGTGGGTTGCTAGGGGGGGTCACCCGTATAGTATTCGTTTTCGAGGCGACTCAGGCGAGCACCGTCAGTGCAATAATGCCACCGGCGTTTGACCAAAAGCCTTGATGGCCGACATAATGCGGTGAGTAAACGTCACCATACTGGCGAAGCCCAGGACAGGAGCCACTCACAATCCTCAGCTTGGTACGAAACGATTCACAGGGGAGACCTGATTCTGGACATCTATCAATTTCTTGGCTCAGCTTCGGCCAAGAGTTGGCGCTCAGTCGGTTGGGCCAAGGCTCATCCACATGACGAAGTAGCCAGCCCACCACACCAGTGTCAAGCCGACCAGCCTCAAGCGCCAGCTCGCGAGAATCTCTATCCAAAGGAAGATGTGCGATCGCAGAAAGCAAGAACTACAGAAACACAAACACACACACACACAAACAAACAAACAAACAAAAAAGTTGAGTGTGCTGTATCCACGTGTGCGCCAAGTCCTTCCAAGACTCTGAAAAATGAAAGTTGTGCCATTGAGCGAGCTTGCCTTGGGTGTCCTATTCTCCGCTGCCTGCTATCATGTGCGTGCTTTGTTTAGACTGCTAGGCTTTCAAGCAGGATCTGAATCAAATGTCATCTTCTATGTTCAGTGTCTTGTTCTCGATGTTCGGCCAAGTGCAAGCCAAGCTACAGTACCTTTTTGGCGCTCGCAAACTTCGCTGGCTTCAAAGGCAGCATGGTCCAGGTTCATCGCAGAGACTGCAACCTGCGACTATCTTGGCTTTGCAAAGCTACTCATTCCTTGGGCATCCATACATATATTATACATATATATATACAGTATATAATTGGTGAACTGCCTCGATGTAGGCATTCACCGAGAACTTCTCGAAATACTGTTCGTAGATGTCCACAAAGCATCCACAGCAGCAATTCAGAATGCTTCCAACCGGATTTCCCTCAAGCCTTGCCTCAGAGCGATGCAGCTTTCATCAACCAAATCAATCATTCCATCGCATTCCATCGCTGCTCTAATCTGGCCCAAGAGCCACAGCCGTTAAGCTACCCAAGACAGCACGAAATGGCCGGATTGCACCTCGGAGCGGTGCGAAAATGACCACAGTGAAACGAACTCTGGTGGCCCAACTTCCCCCCAACGGGGGGGGGATCGTGCTGCGGTACTCTCAGACGGCTGAAACACCTCAAATGCCTCAAATGGTCAAGAACTGAATGATGATCTCTAGCTCTATCTCCAGCCGTGCACATCAAGTGTCATGGGGTATCAAGAGCTGCTGCCCGGACCTTCAGAGCTCACTTCAAACTACCAGTATATACCTAGAGGCCCATGCAATCCAAGACTCCAATGAAAATAGAGGCCTTGATCATCGTCCCAAAATGATAACGGAAAAGAACCTGCAGCGACCACAGAAGCTTGTTTTGTCTGTGCCTCGACTGGCTACCTCTGCCCTACACAAACATATTTACGAGTCCATGCATACTAGTGTATATGCCGATACCTTTTAGGCCACTGGATCAATCAAAAAAAAAAAACTGTTTTCCTCCGGCTGATTGGGGAGAGCCGGGAGAGCCATTCTCTCACTGCTTTGCTACTGCTACAGCGATTCAAACTTCTTTTCAGGGGGGCATTGATGTTACAGTAGTTGCATTTTCTACGCAGGAGGCGTTTGGTTCTGGCACGTGCCTGCGTGCAGACCGTGGGGATCCTGGCAAATGCTGGTTATATATGTTAACCAGCTTGGCCAAGGGAGCCCTTGCCAGTTCCCAGGCTGGCCAGGCGACTATCTAGCGACAAGCGGCAGTTGGCCCTAGGCCCTAGACCTGCCTTTCAAAACTGTTACAGCGCCCCACATCTAGAAGGTTCGACGGCTCTCTCAACAATCTTCTTGGCAAACATGGCCGTGCCGGGCGATGCCATCCATGGCGGCTGAGGCTGCTGCAGCGGTGCCTGTGCCAGGAGAAGCAACTTGGCAGCCCACAGTCATGGCGGCGTGCTTACCACAGGAGAGACTGGGCAAGGGATGGAGGAAGAGATGGGCTCTACTACAACCAATCCCCCAACCTAGTCATGGAGAAGGAGGGTCGACCCCATCAAAAGCACCTGCGTCACTTTCTCGCACTCCGGAAACCACAAGCCACATGACAGAAGGCATGACACACCGCGCAATGTCACAGGGCCACACACCTTTGAACATGCTGCTACCACAAAAGACGAAGAAGGAGGTGAGGAGGATGGAGAATCATCTGCCCCGACTTCAGAGATAGGGTTCACGCTGAGGCAAAAGTTGAAGCGGGAATTCCTGGAAGCTTTTGTGTTGGTCGACAAGGCCAATGGAAAAGAACTAGAGCCTTGGTTCTTCAGTCCAGAAGAAAAGGCTGCTTTTGACAAGGCAGACCGGAACGAGTGCGAATCGGTGTGCAACAAGGTCACACGCCGCCTCACGGCAGAGAGAGGAGGCCAAAAGAGTGCGACTCTATTCAATATTCAAAGGCACCTCTTTCTCAGCCAAAAATTCAGGATCTTATTGCCACCGTGATCCCCATCTAGATCATCTAGGGGAATAACGTTTGATCGGATGCACCCACCACCGTGTGGGTAGGAGTCCCAACTGTCCAAGACGGTTGATGCCACCACAGCTTCTGGAGTGGGAAAGAGATTGAAAGAGAAGCGATTGTCGCCACCCAACATGAAGGGCAACAACTTGACAAGCGGTGAGTTGATGCAAGTTGTGAAGAGTTTTTGTGGGTTGTCCGAAGCACCAATCACTCTGGTGCTCAAGGGCTGCAGAGTTGCTTCTGCAAACGGACATAGAAGAGCTCCGTAATTGCCAAAGCGAACGAAGAAAGGAGTGACAGCCATTTTGGGCTGCTGGTGGGAGACAAGGGAGGTCTCAAAAAGCTCCAGAAATCCTTGGACATCAGAAGTTCGCCATCAACAATGGAAGAATTAGAGAAGGAGTCAGAGACCTTCCTCGGAGCTTGCGCCATCTATATACAAGAATGGCATGTTCTAGGACGACAAAACGGAGTATGTCAACCTCATTGAGCATGCCCACGAAGACACACCAAATGAGTCACAGCTAGAACTCTCAGCTCACTGTCGTTTTGTGATGCAGATCCGTTGGGCAGCACATCATGTCCTACCAGAGTTTCCGTACCGAACCAACAAAGTTCTCAAGGCAATGAAGGACGCTGCAGCCCAAGGCAATGCCAAGGTCACCGCTCAGGCATTGAGTGGATGCTGATTGTCAGCTACTTTCGATGCTTCCTTGGGGACCTCCACAAGTGGTCGGGCACAGGGGAAATTCATGTCCTACCATCTTGCAGTTGCTACCAGAATTGGTTGGAGCAAAATTACACTTGGCATACGGCGTTCATATGTGTGATTCTTGTATGTTGCATTATCCTATACACTTAGAGTCGGCATTTTGTGAGCCATCGAGGTCTGGGGTGTCTAGGTATTGATCTGCATCCAAGGAATACCCTGAAAGTGCACCCAGAGACCCCGGACCCCATCGTGTTTCAGCTCACTCCACATTGAAGCCCAGCCACCCACCATACATGGCACTGCTTGCAACATTGGCGGAATCCGTCCTTTCCAGTCTTTTCGTGGACGCCCCCTTCTACATACCACTCCTGAGCTGGTGCTGTTGGGCCCAGGATGCAGGCTCAAAACGAACATGTCAACTTCGACTGCACCTGCTGATAAAAAGCAATGCTCTCAATCACATCTTGGCCAGAAGGCCAAAGAAAGCCAAAGAAACTTGTCGAGGCACCGCAGCCAGATAGGCTACTGCGAATTCCCAGCTTGCTGTGAAAAGGATCTGAATCCTCAAGCTTGCAAAGGCCAAAGAAGTTTTTGAACACCTCCCCAACAGCTTACCAAAAGGAAGCGATGCACCCGCACGACTGAGGGGAGTATCTGAATTTCGAGTTTCCAGGTGCGACCAACACATTCCACTTTTCTTCGATTCCTTTCTCAACTCATGCGGCCATGGAACCACACAAACATGGCCAGCCACAACACAAATAGCACCAGGTCATAGATGCAATCATCCTGTTTCTGAGCGGAACATCTAAAGGTAATGAGTCCGCGCTCGAGGAAGTCAACAAAAATGCCTGCAAGAAGCAAGCGAGGAATCATGCAAAATTCAGTGAGTGTGAAAGAAAACGTGCTCGCCAGCTGCCAGCCTGTGTGTGCAAGAATGATGAAACAGAGTATCCCAAAGCCTGATGCCACTCTGAACCTGCTCACAGTGGAAGGAAAGCTTCAGCAATGCTGTCTCGTTGCTTCTGCTGTTTAAATCAGCCCGGCAGCAGCAGCACCACGCAGGGCCCAAAGTGTAGCATCGGCGTTTGGTACACGCAAGTGCAAGACCTGAGATGTGTTTCCCAGACGCGCCTGACATCAGCCCAGGGAGACACACAAGAGAAGTCATGATAAAGCCCCAAAGCATGAACCAATTCCAAATTGCAACCCCGACACAACTTGATACATGCTGCAGCTTTGTCAAGTTCATGCATCCGGCTGGCAGCACAACACCCAATACACACGCCTTAGTGACACAAAACCCTCCGAAACAACAGCTGCGAAGGTTTTGTTGGAGTCGATGGGTTGGCGTGCTTGATCGCGCAATCAAATCTGCACGCTACTCACTCGTTCCTGCCCGCGCCGACGGTGCCGAGGCGTTGTGGGGCTCGAACAAGCCATAAGAAATCTGGAGGAATAGTCCTAAGCGTTAGCTTGGGGGGTCCATCTCCAGCTCCTTCAGCGCTGCGCTTTGCAATGCTTTTTGAAGATTTATTAAAGAGGGTGCGGCTTCAGACCAAACGTTGGCGATGCCGGCGATGCCGGCCGCGGTGGATAGCTTTATCGACATCGCGGGCGCACAATTATTGGCATCGTGGGTGTGTTCGTCCGTGTGTCCTGCCCGACCGAGACATAGACTGACAGACCGAGATGGACAGACTGAGACAAACACACCGATACAGGCAGACCGAGACAGACAGACCGAGTGAGCAATTGACATCGTGCGTGTATTCGCCGACTGAGACAGACAGACTGACAGACCGAGACAAACAGACCGAGGCAGAACCCTCTGTCAAAAGGCTGGTGATTAGATAGGGCCATAGCGAAACGCTTCTTCATGCTTGAGCCCGGTTAACATTTCCTCCCGGCTCTGAGAGCACAAGTTGCTATTCCCGGCTCCGCGAGCGCAGGTTGCTGCCGAGCCGGTAGGGTGCTAATGACTCCCATGTATGTCTGGATGTATGTTTGGATGTCGATGTCTGTATTTGTGTGTGTGTTTTCCCTTTACTCTGTGCGGGCGGCTTCGACCGCGAAGCGGTGTGAACAATGATCATCTAACTACGAAAGTGAGCTGTACTCACGAATTACCACGTTGGGCGGTACCCCATGCGCATGTAATTTAAGTCGCGAGATTCATGGGCTCACCCCTGAACGGAGTGGGCACCCGGCCAGGTCAAGATAGCTCCATGCCTTATCTTGAACTTCACACCTTGTTTTGCTGGCTGGTTGCAGAGCGGGGGATTACAACCAAGCAAATGCAAGAATTGTTGGAACACGGATGACTGGGTGGCACAACCCGCGTTCCAGCTTCAGTCAATTTGGCTGAGAGCTTGGTCTTCAGCTGGTTTCAATCAGAAATAGGCTACGGGCAAACAAAGATTTGCAATAACAGAACTGAAGAATGGAGGCTCCAACTACTGGGCGCGGTAATTCCTTCTAAAGCGTTTTGTGCAAGTGCCCAATCTGGAACACACTGAACAAGCTTTGCACTATCCCCAGGGGCGGCTCAAATGCAGCAACTAAGTTTGGATGCAGCCTGCTGCATGTTGTCAACCTGCGAGAAATCTAGAGAGGCCCACGCGCCTGAACACAGTTTCTCCTGAGCCCGTTGCAGAATGATTTCTTTGGCCATCCAACATGTTACTGTCTTTATTATCTCCGACCTGAACACGTATTTTGATGCCCTGGCCCACACCCTTACACACACCTCGCGGGATGGACAAGCCACCTTCCAAATCATGTTAGCAAGGTCCACAAACCCAAAACAATGATCTTCCAGCTTCCAAGCAATGTCTACGAGGCTTGACACGAAGAACCCACAAGCCCAAACCACAAGCTCAATTAGCTCAAAAAACGGAGCTATTCTGTGCGATCTAAGATTTTGCACAACTTATCTCGTCTGAAGTGCCACTTACCCTACACCTCAACATGTTTCTACTTCACTACCAGTTAGTAAGTGCAATGAAATTGAAGGGGCATGGTTCAACCATGGCTGCAGAAGAAAATATGAGATATATATATATATATAGATAGATAGATCAACTTAGGCCGCGGCCGACTACTACGAGGGCGACACATGGCAACAAAGCTCCCTGGTGCGGGTAGGGATGCAACCAAGTCCAGAACTGAAACAGTGCCCACCTGGCCATGCTTGTACCACAAGTAGCCCGCCCATACCCATGGAACCTTGACTCCCAAGCAGAGTAGGGCAATCAGATCATGGTCAAATGTTGAAACAGGCCAACGCCGTGTGCAAAGCAGGGAGCAAGCACAATCAGTCTGATTCCAATTTTGGACAATGTTGGTGCATAGTCCTGACCGGCATCATTCAAAAACAAATCAGGCACGCGGCATGAACACAAACACAAGCTGACCTTGAGGAGTGCCACATAACCTTGGGACCAGTTGTGCAGTGATCAATTTGCTGGCTCGCCCAGGTCAACAAATGGAACCGTCTGCCACATGAGAGCGGCCAATGACACCCCGAGAGCGGCCAAGCGGCCCAATGACAATAACAACCCAGTCGCGGCAGCCTCACGTCAAGCCGAAAAGCATCGTTCTGCAAAAACAAGGAGCGAGGCACTGAGAACTTGGGAAGTCTGTTGGATGCCGGGCTGCTATCAGAAAAGGCACCATGAGGCGCCACATCATCAGAATCCCATAGCCGATGCTGAACTTGCCCCATACCTCAGCACGGTGGGAAGGAGGCTAGCTTTGGAAGTCATATCGTCACATGCAATAAAGTAGACTTGTTCTTCGAGACTTGCCTTTCGTCTTTCTTCATCGAGCACTGCCCAGGTACTTTGTTAGCATACTCGAGCACCGAGACATAAAGCGCATTGTTCTCAGGCCTTTCAGGGCAAAGGCCGGCGAGGCCTGTCCAAACGAGGAATCCTTTCGTCAATCCGGGAACCGTGCCTGCACCACCCTAGCAGATATGGCACCGCCGTTCTGGTCACATAGCTAGGCATCTTGGCATGCGAAAGCAAGCAGTGAGGTCCACAAACACTCGATCTTCCTGCATGTGTGGTGCCTCCACATCAGACTGCGACGCGTTAGTCCAACCTTGGTGATATGATATTCCATACCATTTGCAAAGGGGTCTGTGCCATTTGGCTACACAAACTCTTGTAGCCAAAAAAGTATTGCTTTCAAGTCCAAATTCTGTTGCCTTTTACTTTGACATCTCTCATCAAGCTGGTCCACCCTTGTCCGTCACACTCAAACCATGGTTCCTGGGGGTGTCACAGGAATTGCTTGTTGAGCTGTTGAGCGGGCAAGATTTCAAGCCTCGGCACATCTCAGCAACGTTGGACAGGATGATTTTTCTATCTAAACTCTGGAAGCTGTGTGGATTTGGGACATTGAGCTAACCAATCAACCATGCACTCAAACTAAGATAGCCAACACCACCAAAACTTATCGCAACGCATGTTCTGCAAGATAATTGGCCTAACCAAACTTAACTGTAATCAAGGCAAGCTTCAAATAACGTCCGTGAAGTTCAGTTCGCCTGAATCCTGCTTGCAAATAAACGCCTCGGCAACCGGGTGTTGGTGATGCAGGCATGTGGCTCACCTTTTTCACTGAGGGAGGGACAAATGGTTTGTCCCACACCTGCCCAACTCCACACGTATGGTTCAAGGAGTCGTGCATTGGTATCAGGAAAGCCATGTGCTCCGCTTGGTGTGGCATCCTTCGGCGCAGAATCACGGCCATTCTTGGATTTCACAATCGAAATGTCGCACTGTCGTGTGTTTCTGCGGCAGGTGGATGTCTCTTGCTGCGAGAACGCAGAACATAAAAATGGTAAGTTTTTAATAGTTAATTCTTAGTTGAAGCCATCCAGCGTGCCAAAAGCAATAAAGAACAGGTCATTGCTACACGGTCAAGCTCGCAGGCGTGCGCTACAAGTGGGGCATTAATTGAGTGTACAATCCAGGTGGGACGTATGGGAACGCCCAGGCAAACCTTTCAACAGGTAAATGATAGAAGAAGTATGCCCAATCCCTGGATGCACGGTCTATGTTAATGACCACTCGGGGCGAGTCGGAAGGACGAGAACCCGTGGTGGACAATGAGGGTTGCCGAACGAACGAAGTGGCGTGCAACGAACGAACGAGCGAAGCGAGTGCAGAGCGAACGCGAATGTGCGGTCGGACACTGCCCAACCAACACGGCACCCTAAGAAAACGCACGCGGATGCGATTGTTTTCTTGGGCCAAGAGCGACGGTTGAAGCATGTGTTTTACATGCCTTAGTGAACCGTAGCTAAATAGATAGACATGTACAAGTAGTGGATAGCTGTTACATAGTAGGGGTTCACAGAAAATGACTCCCCCCTCCCCGTTTTGGGGCAGCATTCCTTTGTACATGCATGAATTACCGCGCCGGGTGGCAGCGGTTTCGACGACCTACGAAGGCTTCGAACTGTTCGGAAGGCTCCTATCTGTCTTAGATGGGACTAAGCACTTTAAATCTGTACGGATGCCAAGCAAGCATAGCGCTTTGAACCACTTTTGTGGTGGCAACGCTTTGGTGAAAATGTCTGCAGCTTGTTCATTTGTATCGATGTACTTAATCTCGACAGATGGGTCGTCGATGCATTCCTTTAATGAACTGAGGTTTATCTTGTGGGTTCGGCTGATGTGTCGGAGCTTTGGGGAAAAGCCCTTTCTTACTACCAGAATCGTGGCTTGATTGTCTTCTTGTATGACGAGGTTAACGGCTCGTCCAAGAAGTTTATCCCATAGTTGCAACGAAGGGAGACCTTCTTGATACAACGAATAGGCCAAGCTTACTACTTCCGATTCTGTAGTGGACCTTGACGTGGAGGTCTGGCGCTTTGACACCCATGCTAGTGGATAATGGGTGTTAGGGCCCTTGAGTACTAAATACCCACCGGAGGTGGACTTCACGTCATGTTGGTCGCCACCAAAATCGGCATCCACGAACAGCTCTAGCCACAGCTCACTAGGATCATCACCGCAGACGGCGGTTAACCTATAGTCTAGCGAGTGCTGAATGTACTGTATTAGCCGTAGCAACTTTTTGTCGTGCACACGGGTCCACTTTTGTACTTTAGTGGCTAGATCGTTGATCGGTTTAAGGATGTCGGGTCGTGCTAACCTGGCAAGCCATAGGGCTTTCATCAGGATAGAACACGCTTTTGGTGCGAGCTCTCCGGGCGACTCCTCATCAGCTGTGGTGAATGTGCCGTCTGCGAGAAATGGCGTCTGGGCTGACTTTATCTTTTCAACACCGGCCACCGACTTGTAGAGGTCGATGGTTTGCTGCGCGTAATCCTTCATGTCGAAGATTAGGGCGTCAGCACTACCGCGCAAAGCAGCGGTTTCGGTGTTTCCTGAATCTGGGGCTACCGCGTAGATGTGGTTCCTTCCTAGCATTCTGTAAATAGGCTCGGGTGGTTCAACGTTAACAACTTTCGTGAGTTCTGACCAAAACTTTTGGTGGTGTTCCCGTGGGCCTGCCAAAGTGAGGTCGTCAACGTATGTAGATAACATTAAACGAGGACCAGAAAACCAGAAGTTACCGGGGAACTCTGGGATTTCTTCGCCACCCATTTTCTTAAGAATGCCCTTCAAATGCTGTTCCCACATCCCTCCAGCGTCGGGATGTCCGTACAGCGCTTTGACAAGAAGGACCACTGGTTGAACAAATTTGTTCTTCCACCATGCGGGTCGAAGTTCAGGTGGTAATTCTATCCAAGTTTTATACTTGGATTTTAGAGTTGCTTGAACATACGCTTTCACCGCATCCGCGGCGGTGCACAGGTTACCAGGTAGTGACCCGTACGCGAGGCAAGCGTTCAGCCCTTGGACCGAAGTCGGATTTGCGCCTAATTCTTCATAGACGGCTGCTGCGCCATGTTCGTCCTTTGCGCAGTCACCTCTGTAGACAATTCTATCTTTCTTTTTCTGCAACTCCTTTGCCAACTCGTAAAATTTAATGGATGCTATGGTCATTAGTTTACCGAAATGGACGGAGACGCCGGAAGCCTTAGCTTCAGCACGGACGTGCTCTTTCTCCCTAACGGATTCATACTCCCAAGTACCTTCGTTAACCAAATCGGCTGCCTCGTCCTTAACCTTTTGCAAGGCTTCAGGATCGCTGAGCATCTCGGTACGGCTTAGGAGCTTGGTGACCAAAGCTGCTACCTGATCTTTACCATCCTCGGTCTTTGGGATCTGGTAGGCCTCGTGCATGAGAGCACTGATATCCATTAAACATTCAACCATCTGGTCGACAGTGTCATCTGTCTCAACTGCGATGGCCATAGCGTTGATTCCCGACAAGGCTGACACGTGTTTCAGCGTTTGTTCTTTGTCCCGGTGCTCATGTTCATGGGTACATGAAAAACATGGCATGGCTGGGGCATTATGGGAGAAAGACACGCTAGGGTAAAGGGCCTTTGCAATTTGGACAGTCATCTGCCTTGGGTAAAATGCAGTACGAGCTGTCTGCGACCCGACCGCTTGGTCATGTTCGTGGGGTTTATGGGTGCATTGGAACTGCGAGAACATGTCCACGAGGATGTCTCTTTCCATCATGGCGTTATGGGGCCATCTGTTTGGCAAGGACGTTTCCGGAATCAGCCCTACTTCATGTGCAGCCTGTTCCAACTCCCCAGCCTCGTCCATCTTAACAAGGACACGAGTAGCTACCTCGTTAGCCTTTAAGCCTAGGAAATGACGGAAGTTCTTGGAGTGGGTACTGGCATCACGCTTACTCATGGGGTATGCTATTCTAGCACCCGAGTAGGTGTCTCGGACTACATGAAATGCTTTAACCCCACCTACACCTTTGCCGACGAAGTCCTCTCCTTTTGCCATTATGACATCATCGGTTGACAATTGTTCATATGGACCTTTTGGTGGGTCTATGAAGTCGTCGTCTTTGACATCTGGTTTGCGTGAGACTCTCTTAGAAGTTGACTTCGAGATCTGACAAACTGGACAAAAGGGATTCTTGGGATAGTGTGTTAGAATTTCTTGAGCATGGTAGGGTCATCCGCTATTCTTGCTTCATCACCATCATAGGCAAGCTCTAGTAGTGTCTTGTCGTCATCTGGATGAGGCGGAATGCCCCCCGCGAATGCCTTAGCGGTCTCTGACCCCACGGCACTGGACCTAGGAGAAGCATCCTCGATGGACTCGACTGGCTCGCTCACGCCGTCTGCTGCGACGGATGGTGTGTACTCTTCGTCCGAAACAGGATCTGGTGTCGTCTCTGCGGGCGTCGCGTCGATGGCACCAAGTGGCTGGAGACGTTCCGGAGGAACGAACCGAATAGGCTTAACCTTTTCGTCATACTGTGGAACATACTCAACAACCCTAGATGCACAGATCCTATGTTTTCGGGGAATACGCAGTCTACACTTAGGGATTATGCTTGGTGGAATAAGATACGGAACCTGTTCACGGGGATCCCAAATGAACATGTAACCTTTATCCATCACCGTCTTGCCAATGGATTGGGCTGGCGGGCATTCTTTTAAGATGTAGACCTCTTCACCTTCGAGGAGTTCACTTCCCCCAAATGCGAGGGAGTCAGCACTCTGTTGAGCGCCGCCTCCTGTCGTGAAACTGACAGGGCTATTCGAAGGTGCGGCACAATCACGCATTTCTTGCGTCAGTGCCTGACGACCGAACAGGTGTCTCCCCGCAGCCGTATCCCAGAGCCATGAAACTTTCCCATCCTCAAAGGCGGGCATGGCATGGACCTGTGCAACCGCAGCAGTGGCCTTTGCGGGAGGCTTGCCTTTGGTAAATCGAAGAGACTTCGGGGGTGGCCCCTTGTATTTGTTGTTCGTGTCGTGTAGGAAGGGACAGCTCTTAGCACGGCATGAGTTAAAGGCGTAAAATGCGCAGGGCGTCTTGGCCTTTTGGGCCATGGTCATATCCGCCACCTTAACTACGGCTTCCGACCGAGGGGTGGTCGGAGCGCCTTTGGGTTTAGGTTTTGGGGGACCCTTTGGCGTGGCCTTACCTTTGCCGAGGGAGCTGCGGGCACCTCTGTCGTGGTGTCCTGCTTAGAAGCCTTTTCCTTCTTGGGTTTCTTTTCCTTTTTAGGCTTAGGTTCCTTTTTAGGCTTGGGCTCCTTCCCTTCCTTAGTCGCGGGATTCGCGGTTACCAACTTGGGGTTGTATGTCGTGGCCAAATCCGCGGTTTGTGAATCACGGAGCTTCTTATCGAAGGCATGCCGATTGGCCTTGACACGTTCCAGCTCGATGAACAGGTCGACTTTTTCCCATAACCGTGCCATAACCATTTGGTGGTTCTACGGTGGCTACCAGCTGGGGCCTCACGGGACTTGGTTATCTTGTTGGCTAGAGGTGTAAACTGCTCGAGTTCATCAAGGAGATGATTAAACAATGTGGTTTCCCGGGTGGGTCATCAACAGGGATGGCCGCCATTATGTACCGGTACTTTTCCTCTTCCACCTTGTTGCCTTTAAGTCTTAGCGTGAGAAGGTTACGTTCACCTAACATTCCAATACGATCTTTCTCGAGTTGGAAGTGCCTGAAAATGCTAGCGAGCATGACTCTACCGCATGGCATACCTTTACCGGCAAGTCGGGATTCCTCAACCATCCGTTGAAAGATGATACCAAAACGTCCAGTTTTGCAAACTTTTAACATCTTGGTGGCTATTTCCCGGTCTGTCCGTGGGAAGC